AGTTTTACGATATATTTAAGCATGGGAAACGTTTTCTCTTATGTTTTAAATCGTCTCCTTGGCAAGGAGGATGTGAGAATTTTAATGGTGGGCCTGGATAATGCGGGGAAGACGACCATCTTGTATAGGTTGAAACTTGAAGAGATCGTATCCACTGTCCCTACTTTAGGCTTTAACGTGGAAACTGTTACTTACAAGAATATATCCTTTACAGTTTGGGACATTGGAGGGCAAGACAAGATAAGAAGCCTTTGGAGAGTTTACTTTCAAGGTACACAAGGCTTGATATTTGTGGTGGATAGCGCTGACAGGGAGCGAATCGAAGAAGCCAAAACTGAATTGCACAAGCTTTTGGGCGAAGAACAACTAGCAAATGTCGTACTTCTAGTCTTAGCAAATAAACAGGACATGCCTGATGCTATGGCTGCTTCTGATGTTCGTGAAATGCTTGGTTTAGGAAGCATGCGAGAAAGGCCTTGGTTTGTGCAGTCCTCTTGCGCTGTGAAAGGCGAAGGTTTATATGAAGGACTCGATTGGCTAGCATCGCAGATCAGAGCAAGAAAAAGCTGGATTTGAGCTGAATTGACTGTATAAACTGCATAAGTGTACATCATTTGGTTCAGTAAACTACAAGTTGTACAAAAGACAGGTGTTTCGCCCAACAAGACGGAACTGCAGAGTCTTGAAAAAGTACAATGAGGTTTAGTGTTAGCAGGTGTTAATAGTGCATACTCTTGTCTCAAAGACAATAGCATTTTTTTCCTTTTTTGATTTCGAATGCAAGGTAAAAATAGAGAGTCAGACAGAAGCTTTTGACCTTAGGTTAGTCTTAAAATACCAACACATTATAAGGTCTTAAGTTTTAGGGTAAGAAAATATGAGTTCAGGTTAGGGGGCATATATTTGGAACTACTAAACAGAAAATAAACATTTACTTTCAATAATATCCTTGTGAGAGAGAATTGTTTCAAGTGTTAACTTAAGTTTTTCACTAGTCAAAACATGCTTCATTTCATCAATGTGTAATCAAAATGAATTATATCTGAAAGATATCACTGGTACACTAATAATCAGGTGACCAGTTTGGCATGACATAGTATGTCACAGGACATGAGACAAGCTGGGAAATGAGTGGCATCACTAGAGGTCAACAAAAATATTCTCCTTTTACTTCCCTCTTCTGATCTTCAATGGAAAATTATGAATTAATGGGCATTAAGTTAAACTCATCCAACATCTTCACTGGAAAATCATCCCTTGTCACTTGTGATAACATATCTTGTAATCTGTGGTATGACACCTTTTAATGTGAGAGTGGATTTATTAACATTTTTTAATGGAACCCATTAATATATATCATTAAAAATAAATTAATATTTGTCAACTTGACAAATTTTCTGGCTGATGTGATTTTTTTCAATAAATGAAACCACAGTATTCATAAAATGAAGTCAAGCACTTAACAGATGATTTGGCTGAAAGCATGTATTTTAATAATTACCAGTACATGCTGGTTATTTATCAGTGTAATTTTGCAAATCATTCATATCAATATCAAAGTCTTTATAATTAACTCGAGGCCATGTCTTGAAATCTTTCCAGGAAAGGTCACTCTGTTGACTAAACATTTTCACTGGAAAATTATCCCTTGTCATTTGTATTAACAAATCTTGCGATCTGGGATCTATCAATGCATTTCCTCTCAGTTCCTCAAGAACAACATGAAGGTTTGACAAGTCAACAAAATTTGATGAAACTGCTAAAGAATCTTCCAAGTTTTCCACTCTGTGTGGGCAGCCATAAGGAACAAACAACAGCTCACCAGGTTCTAAAATGCATTGACGAGGCACTGCTGACATCAACAGGGGAAATTTATCAAGATCAGGACAACTCAGGTCTACGTCAAATGCAAGGTCAAGTGAATCCTGGTAGTGTGGATAAAGTAATGGAATGTCTTCTCTCTGGAAGAATGTCCATCTATAGTGAAAAGAGATTATTGGTCATTATAAAACCAATTGCTGAAAAAAATAAAAACAGCCTTCTTGCAGATCTCTTGCAGACTTGACCCAAACTTAAACCCTCGGCAAAGAAACACTTATGTGGCAGCATAATGATAATGAAGGCCTCCTCCCAGCCTATCACATGATATCACTTGCAACTATCTCAATTATAAGCAATTTTGAGTAAGTATACCTTTACCTTTTTCTGCCCTGGAATAGTGCCATCCAGAAATTTGAACCAAATGCGTCAACATGAAGGTCACTGTGCAATCCTTTAGGTGCAATAAAAAGACTTGGCCAACTATCCCGGTATAATGATCCTGGGGCAGTTCTCTGCAAGAAATCTCCTGCAAAATACTTGGGAATCTTTAGTTCTTCTGCTAAGTCAGGAGCGTGTGTTGGTATGCTCCAATCAAACAAGTAAAGTGGTTCCTTTAATGTTTGCAGGGAGTCGATAAACTCAGATACTTTCATGTTACCAGCTGGTTCAAGCTTTGCCCATTCTGTGGATTCTTTCACCATTCTTTTGAGTGTTGCTGTCTTGTTACCAATTGCCTGCAATAGCGAGCATGAAAGATGAGTCTAGAGAGCTTTCTCTAAATAAATAGACGACAAAAGTTAAAAAACATCCCTTCTGTGGGCATGAGACAATGATGGGGGCTATCACCGACAAGCCCACTTACAGCGCATAGCAACTGAATATTTTTTAGGTTTCTTTTTCGCCGTGTGACAAGCACGTGCTGCGTAAGAGACGCTCAAAAGTTGCTGTTTGTCTAACACTTTTATTTCTTTTCTTTTCGTGTTCTAAGAAAGCTTAGTTCCTCTCTCCACTTACAATCAAAACTTTCAAATCTGACAAGTAGCACTCATGCCAATATTTATTTTATTTTATTTTTTAATCAAAATTCTTTCAAGATCATGAACTGTTTTCTACAAAGAGTGAACAAACAAACAAACAAAAATATCACGGAACGCGTTCTTTAAAAGTTGACACTACTTTCTAACAATAAATGTTTTATTTATCATGTTTCCAGCCGTTAGGTGGCGAGAACTTAAGACATATCACAGTTTCGTGGTGTCTGCAGAGAAATATATCGGAGAGGTTGAGTTATCGGAAATATTAAGGAGTGAAACGGTGAAGAAGAAAAAATTATCATTTCCATCCTGATGCGTCAAGAAATAATTTTTGATCTCTGAAGAACGCTTGATGTGTTAAGAAAATTCGACCGTAATTGTTTTCCTTTGTGTTGTTCAAACACGTTTGAAAAGTCTGTCACATGACCCTGACATGTTCGTGACATTTATACAACGCGTGTAATAATATCAGTCCAAAGTTTCATCTTCCGGGAAAACAAACGCATCGTGGAGTTGATTCAAAATGGCAGGTGTTTGGGGCCCTTTCCTGTTTCACTATTTGTGTTTTATGGTGCATTTGATTGGAGTAACGTACTATATGACAGAAATTCACCTTCCAGTTCACCAAACCTACGGAGGAAGATTCAAATTCTTAACTTTTATCAACATGCTGTTACACTTTGGGTACTTCAACATTGCCGCTGTCACAGAATTTCACGAGATCATTAAGAAGCGAAAGAGCCACATCTTCGCGTCCGTTTGCGACCACATGTTTGCTTGCTTTGTGTTCCCGGTCGGAACGACAGTGAGCTTGTTATTTTGGGGTCTTTACGCTGCCGATCCAAACTCTTGTCAAACACCAGAAGAAGCGAAACAAATTCCCGCGTTGCATAATCATTACATGCATACATTCCCTTTAGTGACAATCTTGGAACTATGTTTTATTCGCCACGAATACCCGACTAAGAAGAAAGCTATGGTTTCTGTCGTAGGATTTGCAGCTTGTTACATTCTCTGGGTTCTGTGGATAGCATTTGCAGCAGATATTTGGGTGTATCCATTTTTAGAGAAGTTAGATGCGCTCTCTATTGCTGCATTTTTCGCGTTTTCTGTTGGAGTCTTCATATTCATTTACCACATTGGAGAGTGGGTGGCTCAATGGAGATGGGGACAAGGTGTTTCAGTGGAAAAGAAAAAACTCTAAGTAAGCTGTAATTAAAAACATTGTAGGGATGAATTTTTAATTGCGTTATAAAAAAGACATGGCGTGACACACTGTACCCAAATTAATTGATATTTCTTGGAAACGAGAAGAGGGAGCGGTTTTGGATCATAACAGCAACCTCTGACGGATACCTTCTCCGCTCGAAAATGAAAAGAAATGCTAATACTAGATAAAGGTCCTGTAAGTAGTTATTGCATTTAATTGTCAGTACAATTTAAGAGAAGTAATTTTGCCAAAGAAATGTTACAAAAATAAATACATAGCATAGAGAACAAGCCATAGAAAGTCATAGATTTTACTAATACAGGAATCATTGTAGCATCTTAAATAAAACACAGCACTTACAGTTGAAGTTCTCTTTCAATATGCCCCTGCTAAACAATTGAGAGGCAGGAAGGCATTTAAATCTCAGTGGCTGTGGAGTGTCCACAATTTCTAGAAAAACATGCCCCCTGTTACCCTCAGAAGCTTTCACCAGAAGTAGTTGTCTTTCTGCCCTCCAACTGAATTTTTTACAAATACTAAAGGGAAACTGATTTTAAAAGAGATGCATTTATTCCTGGAACAATTTTAAACACATTTTCATCTCTGTCAACAAAAAGTATTTATAAAAACTTAGAGCTTACTGCATTCTGAGATTTCAAAGATAAACATAACACTTTGAAAATTGCCTTTGGATAGGTGTAAATTTCAAGTATGAATTTCTTATTGCTAATAGTAAAATGATGGGGAATTGTTTTAGTCCCTCTAATTGTATCACATGAAAAACAGTGTTGAAAATAACATTCACCTCTTTTATATGCTTAAAGTCCCAAGGGGCAGTAGTCATGGTAACCACCAGTCCTGTGATAATAACAGGGGTACCAGTCATACAATACTCAAACAAAAACTGTTTTGCTCCCAGAGTATTGCAGTGACGCCTCTCTACCTGAAAAGATAAAAAATAAATGAGTTCAAGGGAAGAAGGGGTACCTGGAATTATGCCCTATGCTATATTTGACGAAAATATTCCTCCCTCTGGTATAAGGGAATAAAGAACTGCATGGAAGCAGAATCTAGCTCTCGATCAAGGTCACTAAGGCCCAATTTACAGTTAAAAATATATTTTTGAAGGAACCATGACTAGCTTATTTGGACATGATTTTAGAGGTGGATACAATAAGAACTGCCAGCACTAGACAAGCAAATCACCAAATTTACACTCTGTGCAAGGCTTATGGTTCTGAAAGATACCCTTGACAGTAATATATCACACTCTGTATACCACTGAACACCCCCAAAACCACACCCTGCTGGATATCACATATCTGTTTCCATCCTTGAGGAAGATCTGCTTACATAACCTAATTAAGGACCTTTACCCTTTAACTCTTATGAGTGACCAAGACAGAAATTCTCTTTACAATATCAATAAAATATCAACCAGACAAGTGATGAAAATAAAGAAAATATCAATTTGGGGATAATTAGTTGATCCAATACTAAATTCTTTGAACAAACATAAGAATTGTATGGTTGACAATAAGGAGAATTACAAATTTGATCTAGGAGTTGAAGGGTTAACTGCTCAATGACATGGCTTTTTAACTCTCTGGCAGAAAGATATTTCATTGTAGTATCATAAAATAGATTCCATGTTGCTACCTGTGCATTTGTCTGTACAGCAATAGATCATAGATGATGTCAAAATGTAGTAAGAACAAAAAATGTGGCTCAAGTGTGTCACTGATGTACTTATTACAAATTGACATCTTCTGTGATCTTTTACTGTGCAGACCCAAGACAACATAGAATATGTGTCTGATGTGATAAAAAAGCAAAATGTTGTTAGTATTGACATCTCTTTAGCATCTGTCCTCCCTAGACAATATAATTATGCTAGAACGACTCAAAGTAACTTTACATTTCAGCTTACCATTTAAGCATCATGTATTCAGTGATCATAGAATTCCCAATGTAAGTATACCAGCAAGATGTCACTCAGTCATTTTCATTTCCATCATCTTCCTCAATATCTGTCTGGAAGGCAGCCTACTAATTGGGGGCCACAAAATAGGGTTTTGATGTGGTGTAGTCTCCAGACCCTTAGAAGCAGTCAGTGACTACAATTTTGGTATGGTTGTGATCTGAACAACTTTGCCAACCAAATTCAGGTCACAAGGCTCTTCATTTTTTTCCCCTGTCAAGGCATCTCAACTCACCTCTACTGGCTCAGGCATCTTATGATCAGTAGAAGGATGTGGTAAAAAATGTTCCTGAAGACTTCTTTTTTTATCCTCCAGCTCTTTACTTCGTTGTACTTTCAAATACAGCCATGCTATATTCTTATCCAGTGGATCAAGCTTTGTGGCAACTTCAAGACTACTCAGAGCTGAACAAGTGTCTTTAAGCAAGTCATAGTAGGATGCTAGTGCAGCATGATGTGTAGCACTTGCAGGATGTAATATTATCTCCTTTTTCAGCAGGTTGATTTGCTCCTTTAAGTACGCTATGCCTGTGGGGAGGCTGTTTGAAAAGAAAAAACAAAGTCCACTACATGATGGCAGATGTATTTTGTATGCATACATTTTAGCCTTGCTGGCCTCACTTTAATCCTTTGACTCCTGAGAGTGACTGGCTTCTAATTTCTCCTCACAGGATCACCCTTGAATTGCACATTACCATCATCAAAAGGAGAAATGATTGCCATCTAAAGAAGCTCTTGATTGTTAAACAATTTCTCCTTGTCAGCTCCTTGCAAAATGTAGAGAACAGTATGGAGAATAAGCATTCTGATGTTAGGGTGTAAAGGGTTAAAGGAAAATTTTCAGTTTATCCAGGTTGACATTGTCAACCTTGA